AGGAATAAGAAAAAAAGTCCAATTCAAGGTGTGTCTCTGCTGTCACTGGTAGACTGCATGGGCAGACAGAGTCCAGAGCTGAATTGATTAATCCCAGAAAGCTTTATGGTGGGCTAGTGGATAATCTCAGCAAGCCTGCACCTTTAGATCCACTGAAGTTCAGGCTGGTTTTTGGCTGTGAGCCTGGAACTGGATTCCTTGACCCTGCAACAGTCCATGTGCCTCCTGCCAGCTGGCTTGAACTCCATTCCCTGGCCTCTTGCTGACTTTAATTCAGCACTTGTTCCCAGATACTGGGAACCACTACATGGAGTCAGCCCATAGCTCTTCTGAGTTCTTAGCTCAGTTGTCCCCTTTGTAAGATGGCTACTGGCCAGTTGCCCTCTTCTGGGTGATATCTGAACCCAGGTAACTCATCAGCCACTGAAGTTTGCTGTGTCCACTGCTCTATTCCACTGGTGTATTTCTCCATGGCGGCCTTTGGGGTTGCCATTGTCCCTGTGGATCTGCAGGATGACCTGCCGTTCCCTTGCCCCAGGGGTCTGGGTTCTGGAAGAAAGTGTGGCTTGCTATCTCCCTCCACTTCATTGAAGTGTCTCTCTTTGCTTTCCTTGTGGACTTCAGTTCTCATTTCAGATCCTTCTGGGTCCTGGGGACCCACTTCTCTCCTTCTTCCCCTCACACTGTTATATTCCACTGTCAGAACACCAGATCTCAGGCTCTTTGTCGGCTGTTCACTCTGCCATGTTCCTTGGAAGTCCTCTTTTCGTGTCTTTATGAGATGTGATCAAAAATAAAATGATGAGGGCCTGGGGTTTAGCTCATTGGTTCTGCCGCCTGACTCACAAGCAGTTTGATCCCTGGTACTCCCCCCAAAAAAAGATCACATCCACGTGCCATCCAACAGAAAAGTTCATGAAAACATTACCATGTGTCTTTTAGTTACTGGATTTGGCAATATGCAACATCTCGCTCTTTCTCATTTCTCAAAACAGTTGAGAAAGAGGCTGGGGATTTGGCTTAGTGATTCTGCCACAGGCCTTGGAAGTGCTGAATTCAATCCCTGGTACCAAAAAAAAAAAAGAGAGAGAAAGGAAAATGTTTTGAATTGATTCAGGGCATTGAGGTATCCGTGACAGTACAACTAAACACATGGAAGGACTTCCCAAACAACTTCAGGAAATGTAAAATGAGGGGGTGTATTTTAAGGGCAGTTACTGGCAATGTGTCTTTTACTGTAATACATTTTTAAAAACTTAAACATTTACTTATAATTTGATTAGGTCTGGAACATACACCTCAGTGATACCGCCTAATGCTTGAGGTTTATGGTATAACCTATTGATCCCAGGCTGAAATCCTGAACCTACTATTGTGCTGAGGGTTCCATTCAGTTGTAGCAGGTCTTAGGGTTGGAAAGGGTGGCTGTAAGAGAAACAGGCTGTAAGAGCCAGAGGAGTACCCTGGGTAGATGCCTCGTGAGTGGTGCTGAAGGGCTGCGCGTTGTTCTGGGTAAGTCAGTGTGAGGGCCCGGGGCACAACTGTGTGTGTGACTGGACACTTAGTCTGTTCTGTAGTTTGTTCAGTGTAGTTAGGGCAGGACTTACTTTTATTTACCATGTGAATTATAGTGGTTCTACATTCAGTGAATTGTTTTGGGTGTTTTCATTTACGCCATTTTCTCTTGTATTTCTCTGACACCAATTACGTGTATAATAGGCTTGCTTGCATAGTGTAGTTTTCATGTCTCCTGTTCCCTTTTTTTTTTTTTTGTGCTTTTGTTCTAACATTGTAGATGTTCTTCTGACCTAGTTTGTTCACTGAATCTTTTTATCCACATTCAAACCATTGTTAATCCCCCACTTATTGATTTCTTGATTGTTTAGTTTTGTTTTCTGATTTTTTTTTTTTTGGTATTGGGGATGGAACTCAGGACCTTGCACTTGTGAGTTAGGTGGTGGTACTATTGAGCTAAATCCTCAGCACCCCCCCCTTTTTTTTTGTTTTTTGTTTTTTTTTGGTACTGGGGATTGAACTCAGATCCTTGCGCTTGCAAGGCAGGCCACCTAACCGCTGAGCTAAATCCCCGGCCCAGCCCCCTTTTGTTGAGACAAGGTCTCACTATGTATTTCAGGCTAGCCTTGAATTCACTGTGTATCCCAGGCTTGTCTTGAACTCATGGTGATACTTCTGCCTCAGCCTCTCATATATTGGGATTACTCCCAATGCACCTGGCTGGTTTTGTTTGTTTAAGACAAGGTCTCCAAGCTGACCTTCTGTTTTTGGTGATCTTCCTGCCTTGACTTCACGAGGACTGGGATTGTAAACACGCAACACCATCCCTGGCTTTGTATTTTTACTTGTGTAATTTTTATTTATTATTTATAGTTTTTAATTTACTACAGCAATTTTTAATTTTTTCTTGTGTTTTTGATCATAGTAAGCATACTTTTTTATTTTGAAGTAAGGTCTTGCTAAGTAGTTCAGACTGGCCTTGAATTCACTATGTAGTTGAGGCTGGCCTCATGGTGATTCTCCTGCCTCAGCCTCCCAAGTGCTGGGATTACAGGTGTGCATCACCACACCTGGTGCATACTTGTTTTAAAATATATATTTTGTAACTCCAAAATGCAGATGTCTTGATTTTCTTTTTCTGGTTTTCATTCATGGTGTCTTATCTCTCATATACTTGGTACTTTTTGTTTTTCTAGAAATTCTAATTAAATTATAGAAATTACTTGTAGCCAAGTAGGTATTATTTTCCTTCAGAGAGAGAGAGTGTTTGTTTGATGCCGTGTATTTGTTATTTGGGATTAACTTCATTAAGTGTTGGACTTGGAGACAAAGCGCTGAGGTGCAGTCTCTGTGGACCTGTGTACTTGCAGTGCACCCTTGCTCACATTTTGGCAGGTAGTGGGTTAGGGTTACTATTTCCCACTCTCCCTTGGCTTTCTGTGCCCACATCCTTGGCCTTTCTTCTGTTCTCAGTATTACAGTATTCTTCACTGTCATGTGAACCCTCAGTACCTTCCTCATTTTAAAAAAAAGGGACATTGATACTTGATGGTTTTATTAAAATATTTCAAACAAAAATTTAAAATAATGTTAATATTGGAAAGCACTGACATGATAAAAATTAAAAATTTAATATCAACATTTAAGATTAAAGTGTTGAAACTGTGTGTCTGTGTGTGTAGGGTTGGTGGTGCAGAAGAGCAAACCCTGGCCTTAATGTGTGCTAATAAGCAAGTGTGTTCTACCACTGAGCCACACTCCTAGCTTACCAAATTATTTAAACTATTGAAAATTAGCTTTGAAGTGATTTTCAGAAAAAGTTTGCTGTGAATAAAATTACTTTGTCATGTAAGAAGTGTTAGTGCTGGCATTGGAATGCATAAATGCTCCCTCCCGTCAGGGCGGTCAGGCCTGGAGAGGTGAGGTGGAAGCTGTGTCAGGAAGGGGTTTGGCTCTTCCCATGTGAAGGAGGCCAGTGTTGAGGACCTCCTGTCTTCTGCTGGGCATTTGCTTATGTACTCATTTCTAAGGCATCTTTTTAGAAAGGTGGTGATTTTATTTTATTTATTCATTTTTTTTCTTTTATTGAGTTTATTGGTACATTTTAGGTATACAGTACAGTTATATTCATTATTGGGATCTTGTACCTTTACATGACAGGTATTGGTTCTCTTTTTTTTTCCCCTTGTCCCTGTCCTCCCTTCACCTCCTCCTCCCCTCCCCATTTACAAACACTTTATTTCCATTTCTTTCATTTTTCTCACATTTTTTTCTTTTCCCTTATTACCTTTCCCCTACCCTTCTCATTTTCCCTACACCTTTAGCCCTTTTCTTCCTATTTCTCATGGTCAATTATCTCATTAGGATCTTATGTACTATTACAACTTTTCACACCAGAGAAACTATTCAGTATTTACATGTGTGACTTATTTATGTCACTTAGGCATATATCCTTAATATGTATCCATTTTCCTATGAATGACTCTAATTTCTCATTCTTTATGGCTGAGTAGTATTCCATTTCATAGAAAAACCACATCTTCTTTATCCAATTTCCAACTGATGGGCAAATGGGCTGTTTCCAAGTTTTAGCTATTACAAACTGTGCCGCTATAAACATGGGTGTGCATATATCACTGTGTGGTATGATTCCTTTAATTCTTTTGGAAAGATACCCAGCAGAGGGATGGCTGGGTCAAATGGAACCTCTAGTCCCAGCTCTTTGAGGTATCTCCATATTGATTTCCATAGTGGTTGCACCTGTCTACACTCTCACCAATAATGGAGAAGGGTTCCTTTTTCCCCACAACCCCGCCAACATTTGTTATTGATTGATTTCTTGATAGCAGCCATTCTTTGTGGGGTGAGGTGGAATCTCAGTGGTGTTTTCATCTGCATCTCTCGAATGACCAGTGATGTGGAACATTTTTTCATATATTTACTTGCTGCTTTACTTCTTTGTCTGAGAAATGTCCGTTCATTTCAGATGCCCATTTTTGAATTGGGTCTTTATATTGGGGGGGGCTGATTGTTTTGAGTTCTTTATATATTCTAGATAATAGTCCTTTGTCTGAGGAGCAGCTGGTAAAAATTTTTTCCCACATTGTAGGTTGTCTCTTAGTTCTGTTGGTTTCTTTTGCAGTGCAGAAACTTTTTAATAAGGTGAGATCCCAGTTGTTGATTCTTTCTGCTAGTTCCCATGCTACTGAGGATTTGTTCATAAAGTCTTTTCCTATGCCAATGTCTTCCAGAGTTCTGCCTAACTTATCTTCCAGCAAGTTTAGTGTTTCTGTTTTAATATTTAGATCTTTAATCCACTTGGATTTTACTTTAGTGCATGGTGAGAGATAAGGGTCTAGTTTTAATCTTGGGCAGGTTGAAATCCAGTTTTTCCAACACCATTTATTAAAGAGGCTATCTTTCCTCCAGTGGGTGATTTTATTTCAATAAAACTTAAAGAATGACTTTGATTTGTGTATTTTTAGGTTGGGCTCATGTGGTTTGCGCCCTCTATATTCCAGAGGTACAGTTTGCCAATGTGTCTACAATGGAACCTATCGTCTTACAGTCTGTCCCACATGATCGTTATAATAAGGTATAGTGAACATTATTTTTATTACTATGTGAATGTAGTTATTTTGAAAGTAGGAGCTAGAAGAACATTATTGTATTTTTAAACTTAAAGGCTTTTTTCAGCTGGAGAGATTTAAAGAAAAATAGAAGTATTATCCTAAGCTACAATATTCAAATTTTACTAAGGTCACAAGAGTATAAAACAAAGGAAACTGTTACCTTTGCTTCTAATGTAGGCAATAAGATATTACTGCTTTTAACATTTACATGACATATCATCTTCATAAATTTGTCCTCTTAGAATTTATTGTTGACCATTCTTACTTTTTTTTTTGCGGTGGGGGGCGTACCGGGGATCTAACTTATGCTTGCGAGGTAGGCAGACCATTCTTAAGTATCGAGGTTTTATTAGATTCACATTAATTTTTGTTTTATTCTGATATTCATTATATACTTTCTTAAAAAAATTCTGTATCAGAAAGTTACATATCACAAAATTATTTATACCTTAAGATTTTATTTTTATTTTTGGCTTAAAAAATAGAGAACAAACCTTAATGGGGCTTGGTGGCCTGCACTCATAGATAGTCCCACCCACTCTTGAGACAGAAGCTGGACAATTGCGCAGTAGTTCAAGGCCAGTTAGGCACCTCCCGCTTTTTTGGTACCAGGGATTGAACTCAGGACCTTGTGCTTGCGAGGCAGGCAGTGGCACCATTGAGCTAAACCCCCGGCCCAGGTCCCCCTCTCTTTTTTTTTTTTTTTGGTACCGGGCATTGAACTCGGGTCCTTGTTTGCAAGGCAGGCCACCGAACCGCTGAGCTAAATCCCCAGCCCTATCCCTCTCTTAAATTACAAACAAAAGAAGGTGGGCATGGTGGCCTTTGTCTGTAATCCCATCACAGGAGAGGCTGATGCATTTGGACCCCAAGTTTGAGGAAAGTCTGGGCAACTTAGTGATACCCCATCTCAAAATAAAAAGGAGTAGGGTGTAGCTCAATGGTGAGTGTTTACCAGTATGTGCAAGGCCCTGGGTTCAATCCCCAGTATCACAGAAAGGAAGGAAAGAGTGAAATGGGAGGGAAGGAAGAAAGAAAACTTTTTTTTTTTTGGTCTTGGGGTCTTGCGCTTGCAAGGTAGGCGGTAGCACCACTGAGCTATATCCCCTGCCCGAAAGGAATCTTCTTAACTAGATCCTTTTAGATTTTTCTGTGTTTTTATGTATAATAAATAAACTTGTTAAACATTTGAATCATAATACTTACGTTGTTTTGTCTGCTTTTGAAATTTATGAGTCCTGAACATGATTTTGGTCAGTAAAAATATTTTTGTCATATTTTAATTACATACTTAGTCTGTAATAGAGTATTACTAAATCTATAAAGCTGAAATTAATAAGTATCCCTGTCTTATTGAAGGGTCTTGTTTGGTGTCTAGCATATAGGTGACACTATTTGAGACTTTGTAAAAGGTGTGAACATTTTAGAAACTTCACTGCATTGTGTGAAATTGTCTTCTGGAATGCACTTGCCAAATTACACCAGATTAGCAATATATAAAATTGCTCACAACCTCATATTAGCCAGGTGTGGTGGTTGCAGGCCTATAATCCCAGCACCTGGGAGGTTGAGGCAGGAGGATTGCTGGGAGTTTGAGGCCATCCTGGACTACATAGTGAATTCAGTGACAGCCTGTATAGCCAGACCCTGTCTCCAAAGCAAAAGCTATTCTTTGAGTAAAAAAGAATTTTCAAAAGGTTGAGCTCATGTATTTGTTTCTTCATTTTAATATTGTAACTTTATTCCCTTCAACTTTTTTTATATTAGCAATAATGTTATTTTTTCTGATGACATATTTGGTGTATATGTTTTTGTCCAAAGTTTAACCCCGCCCCCTTGTAGTGTTGGAGATTGAACCCAAGGCCTTCAGCTCGCTGGGCGAGCACTCTGCCACTGAACTGAAGCCTCAGCCCCTAACATTTGTCTTTTAACTTCTTGTACTTATGACCTTTGTTTTTGGTATTCTAGCAGGTTATTTTTTTCTATTATGGAAGTTTAAAAATTTTATGTAAGTTATGTAACTTATTTTTATTGTTTCTGCCCCTGATACCATGGAAGGTCTCCATACTAGTGTGTGTGTGTGTGTGTGTGTGTGTGTGTGTGTGTGTGTGTGTGTGTCTATATATTTTAGTGCCTTTTATTAAAAAAGTGCTTATTTTTTCTTTCTTTTTTTTGGTACTGGGGATTGAATTCAGGATCTTGCACTTGTGAGACAGGCGAGGTGCCACTGAGTTAAATCCCTGGCCCTTGTTTTTCCTTTTAATCTTTTTTAATTTCATTTACTGGTTGCATGAATTTTACAAAGAGATCTTCCTCCTTTAAGCCACTTGAGAGTAATTTATGAAGATAACACTGTTGCCCTAGTCTGTTAAGTATTTCCTATGAGGAAAGGCACTCTTGAAGTGGTGATGTATCTCAGTGTCAGAGTGTGCGTAGTGGGTGTTGAGTGCTGATAATGTCCCCAGCACTACAAAGAAAGGGCAATCATTCCCCTATGCAATTCCAAGACAACCATCAGAATCAGAAAATTAACAGTGATACATTATTACTATGTCTACTGTCCCAGTTTTCTGAGAAATGTCCTTCATAGCAAAGAGATTCAAAATTACTGTTCTACCTTTTTTTTTTTTTTTTTTTTTTTGGTGGGGACCGAACTCAGGACCTTATGCTTGTGAGGCAGGCGGTGGCACCACTGAACTAAATCCCTGACCCCTGCAGTTTGACCCCCTCCTTTTAAAAATGAAAATAAAAATTTTATTTGGAGTGAAAATGTTACATGCAATACAGAGTTCATGAAATGTAGTACTTTTTATTCTGAAATAGTAACTCACTTGTCCTTGACTCTCGTAGTTTTGCATGTTACAGTCTGTTTTGCAGATTGTCTCCAGTATGAATTTGTCTGATGTTTCCTTAAGATTTTATACTTTTCCTGGAATATCACAAAGATGATTATGTGTTCTCTTTGTATCCTGTCAGGGGTGCCTGATTTCAGTTTTCCCCTTTACTTCTGAAGTTACTTTGTCACCCGGTTAATGAGGTATCTGTCAAGTTTCTCTGTTATCAGGTTCATCTTTATTCCCCTTTGTAATTAGTAAGCATTTTATGGGAGAGTAATTTGTATGTACACATTGTTCCTGCGCTTTCTGCCATTTGCTTCCTAATTGTAGCACCACTGATATTTGTTGACTTAATTTATTACTATGATTGATGAGAAGTGAATAATTCTGTAGTTTCTTATACATTCATTGATTAATATTCCATTAGGAAAAGCTTTGTGACTGTTTTATATATGTGAATGTTTTATTAAAGTGGCTTATACTCCCATTACTGCCATTTATTTAATGTTCCTAGTGTCTTAGATTTGGCTGGTGGGACCTTTTTTTTTTTTTTTTTGAGACAGGGTCTCACTGTATAGTTCAGGCTGACCTTGAACTCACTGGATCCCCCTGCCTCAGCTTCCCCAGTGCTGGGATTACAGGCGTGCACCACCACACCTGGCCCAGCTGGTGGGACTTCGAAGCTGGCTGTTTCATCTTATGTCATGCTTCTGTCATTTGGTGAGTGCCTCCCCATTATTATTGTGACCTCACAATTTTCAACAAACAGATGTTTGTTGAAAATTGTGGTGTAACAATTATAACTTTGATGCAATAATGTATTTCTGTATATATTTAGGTACATACACTCCTCCAAATGTAATCCCACAGTAGAGGGTTTAACTCTTTCTTTTCGTATTTATGACTCAGCCAGGAGAAGCATCCCCAGCAGGTTGCTTGTTTGATGGGCCTTTCCCAATGTTGGCAGATCTCCTGCTGCCTCCTTAGCCTCATTCAGAACCCCTCTGCTGCCTTTCCCCGCATGGCAGCCCTTTTTGCCCTTGGGGTCAGACAGTGGGCGGCAGTCTGCCTGGCTCCCTGCTCCTGCCTCCTTGGGGCATAGCCTTGCAGGCCGTGGTCTTTCCTGGGCAGTGCCTCATCACATTGTGGAGCTTTCCTTACATGGCTTGGCTTGGGGAATGGGAGGCAGTGGAAGGAACCTTGAATAGGGTTAAATCTTTGATCCTCTAGAACTAACTCAGAATATGGCAGCATAGGTATTGTCCTTCCGACCTGGTTGTTTAAATTTTTTGAACACTGTTACTGAAGTATTTATGTTTTTCACAATAATTGGAAATACTCTTTGAATCATTACTAAATTCTTGTGTATGCTTGAGTATGTTTCTATACTTTTTCCCCCTGTTCTACTGAAACGTATCTATCCTTAACCTAGTTCCATGTTTTTTTTTTTAATTTTTTATATTTTTGGTACCAGGGACAGAACTTAGGTCCTTGTGCTTTCGAGGCAGGCAGGGGAACTATTGAGCTAAATCCCCGGCCCCTAATTCACGTTATTTTAATTTTGGCTTTATATACATTTTGCTACATGGTAGAACAAATATTATTCATGTACTATCATGTGTCCAAATATTATCATGTATCCATATTTAGGAATAAGGAAAATAACAGATTTAATAATACTGGAGTTATATTGACATACTGTTTTAGAGGTGAATTTTTTTCTTTTTATAATACTGAATCTTCCTTTCCAGAAATGGATTTATTTTTTCTTCTTGATACTTCTTTCCTTTTTTGTAGTTGTCCTTATTTGTGATTGCTTTGTATGTTTGTTGAATTTTGTTGCTGTTAATTTTAGTATAATTAATGTTAGAATATGGAGCCTTATTCATGGGGCACATTAACACTGGCCCCTGGGAGGCTGGGGGGGGGTGGTTCAAGGATTTGAGGCCAGTTTGCCCAACATAGACACTGTCTCAAGGAAAACCGAAAAACTTGAAAAGTCAATAGTTAACAGTGACCAGGGGTTTAGTTCAGTGGTTCCGGCCAGCTGCCTCGCAAGTTCAAGGACCCAAGTTCCATCCCTGGTACAAAAGAAAAGTTAACAGTAATGTTCTGTTTCATTCATA